ATGGGGCCCTGGGCCCGAACACGCTGCTACTCAGGGCCTCCACAGCCTGCCCGCAGCCCAGCTGCCTGCACACCACGGCCACGTCCTTCTCGTCCCAGCCGTCGTCACACACGGTGCCCCAGCGCCCGGCCACAAGCACCTCCACTCGCCCGGCGCAGCTGTGGGGGCCCCCCACCAGCCTCACATCTGGAAAAGCAAACAGCAGCTGGGACGCCTACTCCGGGGCTGCAGTGGAGCCCCAGATGCTGACCTGAGAGGCAGGGCTAGATTGGGTGCTGATGCCTTTGCTCCCCTGGATCCAGCGCAGGGTGTCGGGCTGATCCCAGTGCAGGCTGGGACCGTGAGCACAAAGACAAACCAGAGCGGCTGGGGCTGGGAGAAGAAGAGGAGGTCCCCCACCAAGAGAATGGATCCCGCGGCAAGAAGCCCCATAGCCGGCAGCTCTTAGAACTGAGGTATCGGGCTAGATTGGGTGCTGATGCCTTTGCTCCCCTGGATCCAGCGCAGGGTGTCGGGCTGATCCCAGTGCAGGCTGGGACCGTGAGCACAAAGACAAACCAGAGCGGCTGGGGCTGGGAGAAGAAGAGGAGGTCCCCCACCAAGAGAATGGATCCCGCGGCAAGAAGCCCCATAGCCGGCAGCTCTTAGAACTGAGGTATCCAATGCCCTAGCCCAGGGCTACTCAGCACGCGGCTCGTGGGCTGCATGTGGCCCAAGGCCCATTTGTCTGTGGCCCATGGGTGGGAGCCAAACAAAAAAGTGGTCACTATAATGGTCTTCTGTTGAGATGTGTTTTAGTAGTTAAATCCCTGGACTGTCATTGCTCATTACAAGTGCAACACAGGTGGAAATCAGGTAACTGCTGCATTTTATTACTATCGGCAGAACTGACTTACAGCTGTGTACTCTTGCCTTAATCTTTGCATTCCTACCTGTCAGTGTGAAAGAAGCTGTTTGCATGCACATGCAACCACACTTAAGATGTGGCCCTCGGCAGGTGCTGTGAGTATCATTGCGGCCTCCAGGGCTTCCAAAGCTGAGTAGCCCTGCCCCAGCCACTAGCCACATGTAGCTATTTGGCCAGTTAAGTGTGGCTAGTTGGCTTGAACTATGTATCCGGTTGACTGTAGCTCATCTGCTATAGTGGCTACTGCTTCAGGACTGGTTGGACACCACAGTCTTAGAGCCACGCTCCAGTTTGTTCCTCTTGTGTGCTTGAACCCAGGCAGCCCCTTGCTCCCACTGCATGCTGGGACTTCCCTAGGGAGCTCCTTGTTCCCATTGCCTTGCACCACCTCAAAGCTTCCCCCCCTCACAGCACCTGCAAGAAGGTGGTGCCAGGCTGGCTGCCCATGAGCTGCTCTGCCCCACGGTGATGTTATTGGATTTTAATGTGAGCAGGCAGATCACTGCTGCTCCCACTGGTGGGTTTGCCCCAAATTCTGCGTAAGATGGGCCATGGGAGGCGTCTAAGGAAAGCTCGTGCTTTGCGGATTCTGTCTACGCTGCTCACATCCGTGTATGATTTTCATGGGTCAAGTTACGGATACGGGCTCTGTACTTATATTTTTAACGTTCTCTGACTGGGAGACAGCAGAAGGCGTCATCCACCTATTGGTTGGGGGGCTGTGGCCCAATGAATAGTGAATGCTGCATGGACAAAGGCTCTTAAGCGTTGCCAATTGACACCTGAGGAGCACACGCTGGGCCTTGGTCTGCGAAGGACACACCTGGATACTC